CTGTGTCTTCATGTGGTTGGGTAGGGAAGGAAACTACTTGGGGACTCTTTAAGAACACTAACTGCACTGAGGAGGAATCTCTCTTCATGACTCATTGCCTTTCAAAAGGTCTCACTTTCGAATGAACTTGGGAGTTAGGAGTTCAAGATGAGGGGAGACACAAATACCCAGACCACAGAAAGCACAGAGAAAGCTATTAATGTATAAAGTTCAGGTACAGAGGTCTTGTAGTCATTAGAAAGTATAAGACTGAGAAGAGAAAGCTCTATTTGAAGATACAGCTTTTTAATTAATTTTGTCAATATGAAGAGAACCAATTTCATACATCCTTAGGTACCTTTCCAAGAAGATAGCCACCCTTCCCTCCCTCTGTGTTTTTTCTTCTTCTTTTTTTAAGATTTATTTATTTTTATTGGAAAGTCAGATATACAGAGAGAAGAGACAGAGAGAGCATATTCTGCTGGTTCACTCCCCCAGCGGCTGGACCTGAGCTGATCTGAAGCCAGGAGCCTGAATCTTCTTCTGGGTTTCAAATGTGGGTTCAGGGTCCCAAGGCTTTGGGCTGTCCTCGACTGCTTTCCCAGGGCACAAACTAGAAGCTGGATGGAAATCAGGACCTCGGGGATCAGAATTGGCACCCATACTGAGTCCTGGCACGTGCAAGATGAGGACTTTGGCTGCTGGCTACCATGACAGGTCCCCTCCCTTGCTTTCTACCATCCCAAAGTAATACCTATCCTTCCCTCTTTCCTTTCATTAGTTTTTGTAAAACATAATTTTAATCCACTCTATAGCCACAGACTTAATTCATCACTAACCATAATATTCAGTAAATAAAAAGTAGGAGGATCATGATTCCAAAGGAGTATGAACAAAAGCTAAAAATGATAATCACTTCACCAAAGATATTTCATTCCTATGCATTCTTTGTATTCTAATTAGCTGTTATATATCTGAGAGAATATATTATACTTGTTTCATTGAGGGTGGCTTATTTCACTAAGCATAATGGCTTCCAGTTGCATTTATTTTGTTGAAACAATAGGATTTAATTCCTTGTTTTGGTTGAGTAGTATTCCATAGTGTATATATTTGTATATGCTACCCTTTCTTTATCTGCTCATCAGTTGATGCACACCTGGGTTGATTCTATATCTTATCCATTGTGCATCCATACATACATGATATATTGAAGACAGGGAAATATGCCTAGTGTAGTTATTTAGGTCATGTTCTGCTCTGGTTCAAACTCTAGTTATGGCAGTTTCTTAATCAGTTTGCAATTTAACATCCTCATCTGCAAGATGTATAAATTAATAATATCTATTTGAAATGATTGCAGTGAGGATCACAGGACTCTCTAGTGCTTGGCACCAGTGTTTCTCTCTCGCTCTATCTATGATTTTGCTTTATAACTGAAATAGAAAAAATGGGAGTAATGTAGATTTCTCTGAAACACTGTTGGTAGAGAATAGAGGAGAGCTGAAAGTTGGAGACAACAAGGATTTAAAAGAAAAGCAAAGAAAAATGAGATAGGGAAGAAGGCAGGGTGAGAAAAGCAGGGGAGAACCATGGAGACTGGTGTCTTGGAAAGCCAGGAGGAGTTTGTCACAGTGTGGATTCAGACAAGAATGTAAACCTTGAGATGGCAGGTGTTGCATCTGCTTTGCTCGCTGCTGAATTCCATGGACTTAAGTGTGGTTTTTGATGTACACTGGTTGTCTATCAGCTATTTGCTGAAGGAAAATATTATAGAGAGGTTGAAAAATATGAACATGGTTGTTTGTTTATTTTTAGCAAATGTAGACCAATTGGTCACTTAGACTCATGTTATGGTGACACCAGAAATTGATGTTAAAATGAACTAAATTTGTGATTTAGTCATTGCAGCTATTGTGTCTTATTGTCATGGTGTCATTACAATTTGGTGAAACAGGGCTGAAGTTTCATTTTTTAAATAACTTTGTTCTGTCTGTGGTTACAAGCATATTTTCTTTCAAAATGCTAGAATTGCTTATTAGTTTACAGACCTGATCATGAACCAGGCTACTGAATGACTCAAGATTCCGTTATCTGACCTCATATTAAAAATATGAGCACCAAACAGTTTGACAAATGGCCTTGGAACAGAATTTTTTTTAAAATGGAAAGTCAGGTATACAGAAAGGAGAAGAGACAGAGATCTTTTGCCTGCAGAATTAAAAAAAAATTATTTATTTTTATTGGAAAGTCAGATATACAGAGAGGAGATAAGACAGAGAGGAAGATCTTCCATCCAATGATTCATTCCCCAAGTGACCACAATGGCTGCTGCTGGTCTGAGCCAAAGTCAGGAGCCAGGAGCTTCCTTCAGGTCTCCCACCCAGGTGCAGGATCCCAAGGTCTTAGGCCAGCCAGGTCTGCCCCAATCCTGGTTTTCATACTCTCCAGTGGGAGTGATAACTCAAGAGGGAGGTGCCCACTATTTCCTCCTGGGCCCACTCCTGGACCATACATTTCCCTGGTGGTTCTGCAGTGAAACTTGACAGAATTAGCCCCCATGCCAACATCTGCCAGCTGATGCTGTGGCAAAGCCCAACCAACTCTCACCCATTCTGATTTATGCTTACAGCAGTAGGGACAGTCAACCAAGCCTGGTTCTTCCCTGATCTGGCTCACATGAGGCTCACAGGTGTTGTACCCCTGCCTGGTCTGGTCTGCCCCCATCCCATCAACATGCCATTTTTAAACTGAGAATACCAAAAATCTCAGTGCTTTTCAAACATCAGATTTTTAAAAATATTTATTTTTATTGGAAAGTCAGATATACAGAGAGGAGGTAAGACAGAGAGGAAGATCTTCCATGCAATGATTCATTCCCTAAGTGACTGAAACAGCTGGAGCTGAGCCAGTCCAAAGTCAGGAGCCAAAAACCTCTTTTGGGTCTCCCACGCAGTGCAGGATTCCAAGGCTTTGGGCTGTCCTGAACTGCTTTCCCAGGCCACAAGCAGGGAGCTGGATGGGGAGCAGGGCTGCTGGGATTAGAACCGGTGCCCGTATGGGATCCTGGCATATTCAAGGCAACAATTTTAGCCAATAGGCCACGGTGCTGGGCCCAGTGGATTTTTTTTGTGTGTGTGTCAGTTTTACTGTACAGGAGAAACAGTACTATCTGAAATACTGATCTTGCTTATATTTAAGCCTGTACATTGCTCTTAGAGAATGTTTTCTTATGAGATGGCTGTTACATCTGAGTACCAGCACTATATTTTCTGGCCTTGTTAGTCTCATGAATTCAATGGATGAAATGGATTGTTCTCACATAATGTTTCCCTGATTGCTAAACTAATTTTGTCAGTACCTTGCAGCACAGGTCTTCCAGTGCCAAAATGACTCCACCTGGCTCAGGTGCATGTTTAAGATTTCAATCTAGCCAAATTTCCTTTTCTCAATTTCTCGAATTAGTCCCACCAGTATCCTTTCTACTGTTAAATACTTCATCCCCACATGTATATCTTGCTTTTGGTTTATTCCTAGATATTATATAATATTGGAATATTTTTCTACTGAATTATCCAACATATCATTATTACTGCTGTTTAAGAATATGAAACTAGGTTCTGGTGCCGTGGCCTAGTGGCTAAAGCATTGCCTTGAATGTGCCAGGATCCCATATGGGCGCCAGTTCTAATACCATCAATTTTGCTTTCCATCCAGCTCCTTGCTTGTGGTCTGGGAAAGCAGTTCAGGATGGCCCAAAACCTTGGGATCCTGCACCCATGTGGGGGACCCAGAGGAGGTTCTTGGCTCCTGGCTTCTGATCGGTGTAGCACCAGCCATTGTGGTCACTTGGGGAGTGAATCATCGGATGGAAGATCTTTCTCTCTGTCTTACCTCTTCTCTGCATATCTGACTTTCCAATTAAAAATAATTTTTTTTTTACAAAAAAATATGGCACTGATATTTGCATGCAGAATTTCTAACTGTGAATTTGCTGATTCTACAAATTCTAGTGTCTAGCTATACAACCTGTTGAATTCATATGTAGACAAATGTATGTCCTGCAAATAATTTCACTTGGGTTTCTTCTTTTTCAAGAATCATACTAAAAAATTGTTTGCACTTTCTCTGTAGCACCAAACTTACCTGTTCAGTTGAAGTAGTAATAGCTGGTGTTCTTGTCTGTCTCCTGGCATTTATAGGACTACTTTGCAAGTTTCATCATTAGCTGCCCAGTTATGACTTTATGCCTGTGAGTCAGCATTCTCAATGGTTAAGAGCTAGGACTCTAGAAAAATATGGATGAGTTTAAATTCCAACTTTGTCTCTTAGTGATGTGTTGAATGGGCATATAAAATCTGGTTTGCTTTCCTCGTGTGTAGTATCAGGGATGGCAGCAGGTAAAGTGATTAAATTATGTGGTATGTAGGAAGCTTAATGTGACTGTGTCTCACATAAAGATATTGGGATAATCATTTGAAGCTTATCATTCAATATATTACTTTAGGGACTGGCATTGTGGCCCAGTGGGTTAAATCACTGCCTATGATTCTGGCATTCCATGTGAGTGCCAGAATCCTGGCTACTCCACTTGGAATCTGGCCCTGTCTTAATGTACTTGGGAACACAGCAGAAGATGGCCTAAGTCTTTTGTCCACTTCCACTCACATGGGAGATCTATATGAAGTTCCAGGCTCAGGGTTTCAGCCTTACCCAGTGTGAGCTGTGGCAGCCATTTGGGAAATGATCCAGCAGATGGAAAATTTCTCTCTCTTCCTGTCTCTTTCTGTAACTCTGCCTTCCAGATAAATAAAATATGTCTTCAAAAATATATATTACTTGTAATTATTATATTGAATGTGCTTTAACTTACTGAATAAACCAGTATGTTATTACAAGTTTTCAGAATATGACTTGCTACTGTTTCACATTGGGCTGTGGGTTCTAGGCAGTAAATTAAGCAAGAAAAAAGAAGACATGTAGCTTTGAAACAGAAAGAATATGACAAAACAGACAGGTGACAGGCTACTGTGTGTAGAAATCATGAAGAAGCTTCAACGAAGTGTTAGAACTGATAAGCAAATTTAGTAAGCTCACAGCATACAAGAATGATATGCAAAAGCAATTGCATTTATATATGCCACTAATAAACCATCAAAAGGGGAAGGTTAGGAAAACAATCCACCTATTATAACATCAAAGAGATTTATAAATATTTATAAATAAAGTAAAGAATTGAAGGACAACACTTTTATTGTATTATTCCAGTCATGTTAAATGTCCAGAATGGGTATATTCATAGAGATAGAAAGTAGAACAGTAATTTCCAAGGTGCTGGAAATGGGAGCTGAACAGACTGCCAATAGATGTGATGTTTTCTTTTAAAAGACTTATTCATATAAAAGGCAGAGTCAGAGAGCTATAGAAGGAGGGAGGGAGAGAGAGGGGTAGGAGGAAGGACATGGGATAGGGAGATGGGGAGGAAGGAGAGACAGAGGGAAAGAGGGGAAAGGAGAGAGAGAAAGACAGAGAGAGAGAGAGAGAAAGGGAGAGAGAGAATGTATTGATTCTGATGGGTCACTTCCAAAGTGCTTAGACAGACTAGAATTCTGCCAGGCCAAAGTCAGGAGCCTGGAGCTCCACCTGGGTCTCTCACATGGCCCAAGGACGTGAGCCATCATCTGCTGCTCCCAAGTGCATTAGCAGAGAGCTGGATGGAAAGTAGAACTGCTGGGACTCAAACCAGCTCACAATGGGATACTGACATTATAGGCAGTGGCTTAATTTGAAGCACCACAATGCTGGCTGAGAGGTGAGATTTCTTATGGTAGTGATCATAATGTTCTGGTAGTTAATGGTTACATAACTTTGTGAATATATTAAAAACTACTGAGTTGTACACTAACACTTAAGTACGTTTGAGTAAATTTAATGTATGTGATTTACGTATTTCTGAAAATATTGAAAAATATGTGGCCAAATTTAACTTATTAATACTTTACTGTTTACTTTTTCTATTCATGAATTATCATTATTTAATTTTGGTATTTGAGCCTAAATAATTCTGTTTATTCTTGCCATTATTTTCCATGGATAGGAATTTGTCCCCTCCCCTTCCTTCCTCCTCAACTTCTCCTCCCGGCTTTTTCTTCATATTATTTCAGTAGTGTAGTCCTTTGGTAACTGCTGTCTCCCAGGATACATATTAATGGAAAGATGGAATTGGATGCAGAGATGGACACAAACCTAGGTACTCAGTGGCATGCTGAAGTTTCAAGGAGTGTCTCAGCCACTAGTTCCATCTTAGTGTTACTTTTTGTCATTTCTTTTCTTCCTTCCCTGCCTCCTTCCTTCCTTCCCCCCTCCCTCCCACCCTCTCTCCCTCTCTCTCTTTCACTCCTCCTCTCTTTCTTTCAGACATATTATGTATTCAGTGATTCATTTGTGATGTTTCCACTCTGGTTTCTCTTCCTCATTGTGATATGTAAACTCGATAGGGTAACAGTTTTGTTTGTTTGCTCATTTTTCTTTAGAGCCTAGAAAGATGTTTGATGTATTGTAGATGCTCAAAATATAGATGTTGAATAAAGATTCAGTTGGTTAAAAAAAATTATTCCAAAGATTTGTGGAGTAACTTCTATAAGATGTCTACAGTTACTGTGAAGACATATTTATGCAGTGAAGAGTCTGGCTCAATTCTTGGTTTTAAGACTTTTATCCTGCTTGTTCAGCCCAACACCTCTTAATAAGCCATAGATTCCAGATGAGAGTTTTGTATTCCAAGTCTCCTGCATGTTTATGGAAATCAACCCAGCTGCACTTCAGGTACGGTGTCTTTTCTGGCCACTGATCTCTGAGCCTTGTTCATCACATTGACTTTCTATTCTGTTTTTGGTCCACGGAGATTGTTATCTTGATGCTGTACCCAGAAAAATGCTATAACAATTTTATCTTTTTATGTGTTTCAATCATGGCTTAGTGTTTAGAAAAGAGAGAGCACTGTGATTTATGAACTCATGAAACAGTCTTGATTAAACACTTTCAGTGTTTGGAATGTTGCCAAGTTGAAAATATAGGAGATAGGATACAAAAATTCAGATTTGCAGTTCAGCTTGAAAATTCATAACCTTTTTTCTTGATTTTCCCCCTTTTTTAAGGCCTGTGTTTCTATGTGTGATGACTCATTGGAGGTAAATAAACTCTAAGACTCTTCTATGGGTCATGTCTCATGTGAGCTGCCAGACCCTTTCCACTGTGTATTTTCTTAAACTTGACAGGACTGATTTTATTCCTTTGCTTTATCTTCTAACCCTGCAAATATTTTAATTTGTTATTCCTATTTTGAGTACACACTGAGCTAAAGCATCAGATAGCTATTAAGAGGTTAAAAGTAAAATATACAAAAACATAGTCCTTATTTTGATTAGGGAGAGAGAAATAGTCTTTTTGTGCAATACTTCTCTAATCTTTTTGAGTAGAAAGTTTTGAATCTATCAAACTCATAGGCTTTTTTTTTTTTTACATTTTATTATTACAAACCCATAGTTTTTTTCCCTTAAAATGGTGAGATTTTTTTTTCCCTCAGCAATATCATAGAAAAAAAAACTGTGACAGATGATACTGTGAAATCAATGTCATTACAAAGTCAGTAGCGTATCACTGAAAAAGTATATTCCCTCTGCAAGGTCAGATCCCTCTAAATGAAGAAAGAGCAAGCTCTTTTATGATACTAGTAAGATTTTCATCATAAATTTCAATGGGTAGCTACGAGAATTAGATTTTTGTTTAACATGTGCAAGAATCTAGATAATCAACTCCTTCCTAGAGCAATGTGCAGTTGGTTTTATACATCCTTACACTTCTGAAAGTATGAGTACCAGGTGTACACTCAGTAGTGACTTCTGTGAAAAAACAGAGGTCTACAAGAGTAAGCTGGAATTTACTAGTAGGTGTTTGAGAGTAGATCAAGGTGGAAGCAGTGACTTTATTTCTCATTTATTAGGTTATGCAATAAAACTATAAGTACTCTTTCTAAAGATTTTATTTATAGGATTTTTTTTATTGGAAGGCACATATATATAGAGAAGGAGATATAGAGGAAGATCCTCTGTACTCTGGTTCACTCCTCAAGCAGCTGGAGCTGAGCTGATCTGAGGCTAGGAGCCAGGAGCCTCTTCCAGGTCTCCCATGCGGATACAGGATCCTAAGGCTTCTTTTCTATTCCATTTTTATTTCTTGCCTAAATGTTACACTTCTTTCTTCAGGAAGCATTTACTGTTATTAGTTACTACTGTTTCATGGAAGAGTTAATATATGGGGCAAGATTTAAAGACTGTAAAGCATTGGGCACAATTAAATTAAAAACATAAAATTGTAAACAATCTTTGCTTGATATAAACTTGTTTTTTTCCTTAATCTGAATGGGAATAAATCGCATTGAATTACAAATCTTTCATAAATCATTTTTCGCTATTTCATTGTTGCATTTGATCTTCTCCTAAAAGAGAAATTTTTTTCTGCTTCCCCTGGAGCGGGGAGTCAGGTTACACGTTTTGAGATTTGACTCATAACAAGGGCCTCTTGGCAGTTACTTGCAATTCATCTGGACTTGAGGTTTTCTTAAGTCAAAGCAGTCTTTTTATCTAAAAATGCTAACTGTTTCCATTTCTATCCCTACTCTTCACATATGGTTAAAGTGAAAAACTCTAATTTGTTATGACTTTATGAAGCAACCAAACCTATCTTTTGGGACTCTATGATGTCTTAGAAGTTTTTTTTTTAAAAATTATGACTTCAGCAGAGTTACTATCAGAAGTTAGTGCTGGCTTTTCTGTATTCCTTATAATAATGTGAATTATTACTAAGATGGAACAATAGTATAGTTGACCAAGACCAGTAAGACATTTCCTTTAGTTCGACATGCTCAGGTAGATGGGACAGAAATTCTCTCGGGTAAACTTAATCCCAGTTATTACCGTTCAAAATTCAGATAGACTAGCTCTAGTGACTCATTAAGAGTTGTGGTTCTCTCTCTCTAAAACCCTTGCTCCTTCCGTCCCTGCCTGTCAACTTCAAAACTACTCTTAAGTTTTATTTGAAACTCTAATGCTCTGTTACTTTTTTAAAAAAGATTTATTTATTTTTATTACAAAATCAGATATACAGACAGGAGGAGAGACAGAGAGGAAGATCTTCCATCCGATGATTCACTCCCCAAGTGGCCACAACGGCCAGTGCAGCACCGATCAGAAGCCAGGAACCAGGAACCTCCTCCGGGTTTCCCACACAGGTGCAGGGTCCTAAAGCTTTGGGCCGTCCTGAACTGCTTTCCCAGCTCACAAGCAAGGAGCGGGACGGAAAGCAAAATTGATGGTATTAGAACTGGCGCCCATATGGGAACCCGGCACCTTCAAGGCGAGGACTTTAGCCGCTAGGCCACTGCACTGTGCCCCTAATGCTCTGTTACTTAAAATTCAGATCCTCGGGCCCTGCGCAGTGGCACAGTGGTTAGGGTCCTCGCCTTGCACGCCCGGGATCCCATATGGGCGCCGGTTCTATCCCAGCAGCCCTGCTTCCCTTCCTGCTCCCTGCCTGTGGCCTGGGAAAGCAGTCGAGGACGGCCCAAAGCTTTGGGACCCTGCACCCACGTGGGAGACCCGGAAGAGGCTCCTGGCTTCGGATCGGCATAGCATCGGCCATTGCGCTCACTTGGGGAGTGAATCATGGGAGAGAAGATCTTCTTCTCTGTCTCTCCTCTCTGTATATCTGCCTTTCCAATAAAAGAATAATAAAAATAAATCTTAAAAAAAAAGTCAGATCCTCAAATGACCATTTTCTGACATCTTGTGAAGATTCTTAATTCTCTACACCACATTTGAACTACCTGTTAACAAGATTCTCAAATCTGAGAAAACAGGTACCCTGACATCATGACCTCCTTTTCTCCCCACCCATCAGTGCCTACCTTTCCATTTTTGTTCATCTTTACATTAACATGATCTAGTTTGGGTTCTTCATGAACTATTACTCAAAGCTTTCTGACCAATACTGTCAACCCTCTTGTCCTCCAACTGTCTCAATATTTAAACATTTCATTTGCCTGACAAACACCCAAGTGCATTCAGCATCCAAATGCCCTTCTGTGCCTACACCTGAGTAGCCTGACACTGACACCAAAAGCCCCTCAGCAGGACAGATTGGTGCTAAACAGTGCACCTATTTAGCTTGCTAATTCCTTCATGTTCTGCTAGTAAGTTCTTTTCCTTTCCCTGCAAAAATTGATGTAAGTATTTTATATTCTATTCAAACCTCAACATTTCTTGACTCCTCCTCATTGTCAGCAGATGACTTTGCCTCCCACTTCTTGAAGAAAATAGAAGGCATCAGATGGGAACTCCCTCGGCTTTCTGCTACCAAAGCTTCCATCTGTGCTTATGTTCTTCTCTTTTCTGCTTATTTTTTTTTAAATTATAGCAAGTTCCCCTCCCCCCTCATTCAAGGCCAAATTTTTGCACCTGTACTTTAGATTCCATTCTCTCATTTCTTCTAAACATATCACTAACCATAATATATTATCAATTCCTTCCCCCAGCCCATCCACACTCTGCTATTTTTCAACAAATCCTTCTCAATTGGATTGATTCCCATTATATATAAACAGTTCATGTCTCTTCCATCTTCAAACAACCTTTTCTTGACTCCCACATTCTTCTTTTAACACTGTCTTTCTCATTTTCAGTGGTTTAAGTTAACTTATTTGGTGAGAGTTCCTTATTCTTACCTCTAACCCGTCCTTGAATCTTCTCCAGTTTGGCAGTTGTTCCTAGCAATGCACCAAAGCAACTGGCTAAGGTCACTAAAGACCTCTATAATTTAAATCTAATGAATATTTTCCAGTTTTTTCTCTTATTCCTAGCTTGTGTTCTCTCTCTTTCACTCGCTCAATCTCTCTCTCTCTTTTTGGAAACATGTTGCATTTATTTTGGCTCCCAAGACATCATGCTATCTAGATTTTCCTTCTTACTTTCCATAAGTTCTTTCTTTGTTATCTTGGACATTAACCCATATTTATGTATGGTTCTAAGTTCTTTAATTTTTCTGTTCGTACTCTGTTTTTGCTTAGATTCCCTGGATCAGGTGTTATTAAGATGGAGTAATTTGAGGTACAAGATGTTTGTTATCATTCATAAACTATGGAGAGTGGGTGAAAAAATGTTTTGAAAAGAGATGAATGTTGATGTGGGAACAACAAAGCTTTGGCCAAATGAGTCAAGTATTCTGAATCATGGGCTTATCCATGTTAGATTTGGGTGGCTCTACCATCATGCTTCTGTGGTGCTTAAACATGAGATGTGGGATGCTCTGAAAGAAAAGATACCCTGGGGCTGATGATGTGGTGTAACAAATTAAAATGCCGCACAGTATGCCATATGGGTACCAGTTTGTGTACCTGCTGTTCCATTTTTTATCCAGTTTTCTACTAATGTGCATGGGAAGGTGGCACAAATGCTTGAGTCCCTGCTACTCATATGGGAGGTTAGGTGTTGTTTTGGCTTCTAGCTTTAGCCTGGTTCTGTTCTGGCTGTTATGACCATTTGTAGAGTGAACCAGTAGATGAAAGATTCTATCTTTCTTTCCCCTCTCTCAGTCTCTCTCTTCTTTTAACTCTGCCTTTCAAATAAATAAATCAATTTTTAAAAAATGAGATCTCTGGGAAGGCTGTTGCAGCTAATGTGGGCTTTGAAAGAGCTGACACATAGGGGCTGCCTGCTTATCTCATGCTCTCAGTCTGGGCATCATGTCTTGGGAGGAATTCTAAATCAGGCGTGTCACACATTCTCTCTTCTAAATAGTATTTTTGATATCTATGACTCAGTTGTCATCAATTAGGTAATTATCCAATTTTATGCTTCCAGTCTCGACCTCTGAGTTTCTAACCTTTACACTCAGTTGTCTATGTAGTATTTCTGGTCATATGTTTTTAAAAATTCTCAAGATCAATGTGTCTAAATCCTATCAATCAGCACTTATTCTCAAGATTTCTCTCCTAGACATTTGTAAATCCTTTTCTTAAATATCCCTATCTGACCCTGGAACGTAGTCTTCAAAGACTCCTATGATTTGGCTTCTACCTGTTTCCGTTGTACCTTTACTCTCCTTCACTCCACCCCCACAATTCCTGCTTTCCAGAAAATCTGATTTTTTATTTTCTCTAATAGATTTCAAAAGTCTCCAAAGCTGTTTTCTTTAATACAAATTTCTCCTCCCATCATTGAATTTGTTAACCCTTAAGTAGACTCCAGTTTTCAACTTTAATCTCATCTTTTCAGATAATTATTCCTTAAGTCTTGCATATTGGGTCAGACTCATAAAATTCTGTTGCATTTCTTCATAGCATATATGTTACAATGTAAGTATATTTTCATTCATGTGATTATTTGACTAATGTTTTACTTCTACATTAGTACCTAAAATCACTGTCACTCGTCAATATTCCTAATGCTTGGAATACTGACTAATCCTGATTTCTGAATGAAGAAAACCTCCTAAACTTGATGGCAACTGGTATTGTCAGCTGCCATCTAATGTGGGATCATTGTGTGAAACTTATTCTAGGCTACCTAAGAGGCTGTGGGTTTATTGGCTGCTTGTGAGGAAAACGTTGATTGAAGTCTGTTTGGTATGACTCCAGTGACCAGCCTCAGACAGTCCTATCTTAGGAATTACATTTAGTTCCTATGCCAGAAGATGTCCATTGGCATAGCAGGTCCTCAAGAATAAGAGATTCTTCTCCATTTCAGACCTGTACTTTATTTACATTAGAAATTGAAAGGTGTTAGGTCAGGAATCCTTGCTAGATGTAAGAGGAATAAAACCTACCTACATTCTGCTTTTCTGTTTCATGTAATGTCGTTCTAAGGCAGCTTTAACTAACATGCTGTTAACTATTATTGAGCAGGAACATTCATTGCAGCTAGCTGGCAGTGCATAAGTGCTAAACATTTTCCTCATATGAAGTCATGAATACTAATGGCTTTCCTATGATTGGAAAATTCTCAAAATGATTTGCCAGCACACAGAAGGTTCAGCAATACTGGTCTGGTCTCAGGCTGCAGCTGGGAGAGCTGCTTTAAGACAGTACAATTAAGCCCTTCAAAATGCAAATGCAAAGAACACCTAATTCACTTGAAGCTTCAGGGGAAATTAAGAAAGGCAAATGCAATCATGCAAATTGGGCAGCTGCCAAGGATGGAATTGACCAACATCTTTAATTTTACAAAGAGGATTTTTATATATAAATCTCCATCTGCCCCTGGAGAGATAATGACCCCTTTAGGGGCTAACGTGAAGGGATGTTTTTATGGCAAATCTGTAATATATAAATACAAATGTTGGTGCCAGGAAACGTACAGCATCTGCTGTCAAACAGACAATTATACTGCATATAATTAGAGAATGTTAAGCAGTGGTCTGGAATTCTCATGATACATACATTTCCATTTTTGTCGTGAATAACTTCCTGATTAGGATAGATAGAGGATAAGACTTGCAGAACGTCTGGCTCAATATATATAAACAATGTTTAGAAAACAAATATTACATTCTACTTATAATTTCTCTTGCCTTCATAATAAAATTGTAAAAGGGAAAATTCTTTTAATTTTGGTCTAGTCTTCCTTATATCTTGGAATGCCAAAGGAGCTACTGAAAAAGTTTTTCCTATCAAAACTTAAGGCTAATTGATTAAATATATAATCATTTTATTGAGCACCAGCAATGTGCTAGATAATATATTGGACATCAGTAGTATATTAGGCACAAAACTGGACGGAGTTACTATATTTGTGGAATTTATAATGCCATGAATGTGAGAGTCTAATGAAGTAATAGCAGAGCATTATAAATGCTCATACAGAAGTCCCCAGCAGAGTGCTAAGTAGGTAAGCTAATTTGTTTTGGATTTCCATCATTTGAAATCATGATTTTTCCTTTTACATTAACAT